TATGAGTGTTGTTATTAAAGTATATTAATGTCGTAGAAAACTCTTTCACCATTGTTAAATCTAATAAATACAATATCCATCATCAGCTGCGGAAATCTGTTAACATATTTACTTTTATGAGAAAAAAGTAAAGATGTTAAGAACATTCTGGTATTTTGCATTTCTTAGATACCGCAGAGTAATATACAGCATAGTGTTTCAATTTCTGATAAACATACTATGTAATAACGTTGAAATCACTCACCATTAAAAACTAGCATCTTAGTTCGCTTACATATCATAATGTCATATAAATTCTGTTATAATATGCATGATATATTTGAGTTACTTCTGTAAGAAAATTATTTGATCTGCAAATCGTACAATTGTTGTCTGATAATCAAATGTTGCTTAATGCAAACGAAACTTCAGTCAAATCTGTGAATTTTGTCCGACTTATCAACAGGGGAGGCATAATAATTACCATTATTTGAAAAGATTATATTATCAAAATAAATCAACAAATATCAAAAGCCATTCTCAAAAATTACGCCGTATCATTCTTTTCCATGTCTTTTAAATTTCTGTTGTGTGCAGTATCTTCTGCGATTAAAAAAAATGAATTTGCGAAATTTAGATTATTTTTATATAAATCAATAGTTGTAACTTTTAATTACTGTCTAATATGCTTTTACTATTTTTCTAGAATTATAAAAGGCCTCAATTTAATGTAAATAAAGGTTTATCGATTAATTAATAAAAAAACATACGGAAAATGTATAAAATAAGCTATTTTTGATATTTATTTCCTATTCATAATAATAAAAGGAAAATAAAAATAAAAAAAATCTGAAACGTTTTGGATTTTAAATTACGTTCAAAGATGCGTTTTTTTTTTTAACATTTTGTGTGTTGCCTTTATTTATTGAATATCATATTTTTCGCACTTAAACCTTAAAATCCAGTTCGAGAGCAATATCGCAAAATAATTTTAAAATGAGCATATGTTTAGAATTTCCGTTACACAGTCTCGTGCGCTGGAGATAAAAAATGTGTTTTTCTGTACAACGTTGCCATTGCTCGCTTCCTTCAGTTTATTAATCAAAAATTCGTTAAAGTTTTACAAAATATGAAATCGATAATAAAACAAATTCCAAATTTCAAATTTGGTCTTATTCGCCATACGCCCATATTCGCAGGAGAATTACGTAATTCAAAATTCGATGGCTCTAGGTACCGTTGTTTTATGACAGTGCGAGAAACATATATATATTTATACATATTCTTCGTTATTTATTTCTTTAAATATAATACAGGGCTCTAATATTTGGTGGCAACAATTTAAAAAGTGAAATTGTTGCCACCAAATATTAGAGCCCTGTATTATATTTAAAGAAATTAAATAACGAACTAGCATATAGTTTATAGTGAACTAGCAGCTTCCCTGCCAGCCTTTTACTCTGCAGAACAACTTCATTAAAAAACGTTATTACGTGTAACACAATTACAATGAAATAAGCATTAATACAAATATTAATTATCCTAATAAATAACCCTTAATACAAATATTAATTATCTAATAAATAAATTATAACCAACTTCCCTTTGCAAAATCTTAAGAACTCAAATGGTATAAAGTAGTTAAGAACTTTGTTTCCTAAAAAAAATCATTCAAAACTTTTCAATATCTTAAAACAAGGAAGGAAATGAGCAATAAATAACATAAAAGAATACCAAAAAAACAAAAAATTCTGAAAAGCAAAGTGTAATTAATGATATTTATCTATATTTTCAAGAGAAAAAAATTACAATGAAAATAAGCTATATCCCTTAATACAAATATTAATATCCAATAAAAAAATTAACCAACTTTCCGTTGAAGAAAAAAAACACATGCAAAACTTTTCAATATCTTACAAACAGTGAAGTAAGCAAAAAATAACATGAAAGAAACTCAAAAAAACAAAAAATTCCGCGCAGAATTTTACTCTGCAGAACAACTTTATCCAAAAAAAAAAAAAAAAAAAAAAAAAAAACAATAAAAATGTATTATATATATAAAAAAAATGACAATGAATTATGCCAATCTCTTAAAAAGTGACATAAGAAATACGATGAAAAATTGTTGCCAAACCCATATTTCTAAAAGAATGAAACTATTCAAAATGATGCGATTTCATCAGAAATCTATCAACAACAATAAGAAAGGAAAATTGTTGCCCAAATCACATTTTTAAAGATGTGAGATGTGAGAAGTGTACTCGGAAGCTCCATTTAAAAAATTTTTTTTAAATACAAAATATTATCATTTTTCCAAAATTCTTTTTGTAAAAGCAGTCGCAAGGATGAAAGTTTAACCTGTCCAAAAATTAAAGAAAAATAAACTGTACATTTTTTAAAATAAACTTTTTTAGAAAAAATCCCGTTGAAAAGGTGTTAAGCTCACTTGTGTTAAATAAATTCGTATTTAATCGATTTATTGAAGCCACAAAATTATTTTAATTTCGTAAAATAGCTAAGTGCCTACGTTCCATGACGATGTGAAATGGGTTTTGTTTTTTGTGGTAGAGTAAAATCTCGCTTTCCTATAGCCCATTATATCTCAAAATTGACGCGATTTTCGTCACAAAACATAAAATTAAAAAAAATTCGAATTTGAATTTAAAAAAAAATCGCTTCGAGGTTGCAACTGGCTCTTGTCTAGATGCACCTATGTACCAAATTTCGTAGCCGTGAGTCTATTAGCTTACGCGCAGCTCGAACGAGACACACACACAGACAGACTCTCTCTTTTATTACATGTAGAGATAAAAGCAAAATTCTAAAACTAAATTAATGGCTCTTTGGGCTAAAAATTGGCGGGGGGGGGAAGCTATCAAATTAGCTACATGACGTCATTGCTGCTCCAAAAAAACTCAATTTATGTATTATGTACAGCGTGATCCGCAAGTTGAAATTTATGAATGAGTTTGCGAGAACATACAGCGCATTAAGGTTTTGAAAGCGAATTAAAAAGATATGTAAATTACTACTACTGACGCAAATGAGGTTCTATAACATTTTTACTCTTACTATTACATTACTACTATATACTAGTTTTTTTTATGTTGCTTATTTCATGAGCTTGGACCATTAGTCTACAAAAGGCGTTCAAAAAATACTTAGTGCTTTGAATTTTTTCATAGTAAATTACATATGTGTATAGCAGTTGGACATATAAAAGCAAACTGTTGATTAGTTTCAATATTGTGCTCATATTTAGTGAACAGTTTTTCAGTATTGTTTGAACTTTAATTAAATCGGGCAGATAATACTGAAAGCAGTTAATTTTGTTATCGCTAATGTAATTTTCGACTGCAAATCTGAGAAGATTTATTTTGGCTCAATAATATGAAAATGCCTCTTTAGTTATAGCACCACAAACAATTAAAATGTTTACGCAGACACAAAGATATCCTATAAACTTTTAACATAGAACATGGAATATTTTTTTTTTCTAAATTTACTTCACTTTTTAAGTCAATTTGATTTCCTTCTAACGTTACTTTTAAAAAGCATTTTATACGTGTGATTATGGTTAAGGTTATTGGAGTATGGGAAAGTACAAAAGCTATATGATTAAGAAGAACGACGCCTTCGTGGAGGAATTTATAAGGGAAATGGCATGTATTCACTATCAGCCCAGATGTAAGGGAGGGAATTGGGAAATAAGAAAAACGGAACTAGGTTACCTTTAGCACTACATTATACGTATAAAAATTGCCCTTTCACTGTTTAAAATATTGTCTCAGAAATATGATTCAACAAACCCAAGTAATTTGAGTTAAATTTTCTTTAAGTCAAATATTAAAAAGCAGCACACATTAAAAAATTAAGACATTAAGAGGTTTTTCTATTTGAAAACGACATAACAGAATTTGATTTTTGTTTAAATATGTAGTAATAATTATGTATCTCTTTAACAGTTGAATAAAAGTTGGTTGACGACATATAGGTAACAAGCTGAGAATAATGAAAAATTCATTATTATTTCTCCCTAGTTAAGGCCGCCAAGTGAATTTCAAAAGAATCCACAAACTCTCCTCCTTGTCTGTTTATCGCTTCTATTATAAAATAAATTTAACATTAGAAAGAAGTTGTAAAATGTTTTTCATACCTGCATTGCTCTTTACGCTGCATCCACTTTTCTTATTGTCCTTTTTTATTCAAAGAAACCATTATCGATATTCAGATTTTTAATGAAACAAATATAAAGATGTAAATCTTAGTGTCTTGAAAAGGTTAAAATGTATGGTAATATATGCATTACTAAATGATCAAGGATGGATAACCACAAATCGTTGTTTTCTTTGTACGAGTCATCTTGTGCAGGATAAACAACTGTACAGTTTTAAGTCCAGGGGCACCAAAAAATTTCTCATTGCGGATTTTACTGTGGAATATATGGTACAACTAAACAAAAACCGAGAAAGACTGGGATTAAAAAAAAAAAAACTACCTTAAATATATGTGAAAATTTTTTAAGCGCTAAGAGCTTAGAACATCTAAAAGTCTTAATCCGGCTCTGAATATGGTGATATATGAAAACAAAAATCAAGCTAGAATTCAGATACTCATATGATATTTTTCCAAAATTTATCAACTTCTACATACGCATACAAAATAATAATGCTATTAATAATAAATTACCTAATCGAAGTTCTGAATTTCTCACCTGGCAATTTCATATTTTTTTCATATATTTTTTAAAAAGTCTAATTTTAATACAATTTCATTCTATTATTTATTTAGATAAAAGAGAGAATCATTTAAATTAGAAACTAAAACAACCTCAATTTTCCGCAGTTACACAATGCTGAAGGATGCATTGGGAGTTACATAACTTCGCTTGCTGACGATCCATAGCAGACCAGTATGGTAAGTGGCGCCATCTTCATATATAATTTGAATAACAAGGCGTATATGTAAATTTGCCACAGTGTAGTTAGAATTAATTGCAATAAGAAAAAATATTAACTTACCTTTTCAAGTATAACATACGTAATTTTTGAAACTATACTCAAAGACACATTTAAACAAGAAACTAAGAATTAACAACTTTTAGCTGCTCTGTCGTTTTAATAATACTGTTCCTGGCATGTCGCCAAGTGAATTGCCTACTGTCACAGAACCGGCACGAAATCTTCTCTACTATCGGGAATAAACTGGTTTCCAGCGAGTGCCAAGATAAGAACAAAATAATGTGTTTTCCTAAAGAGAGAGAGAGAGGCTAATTTTTTCTTAAGGCAAATTTATCTTTGTAAGGTATTTTTTCTCCAAGTACAATTTTAAACTTTGTTACATTGTACTTCTCACTGTAAAACCTGAGAGTAACGGGGTCATTTCAAATAACAATTTTGTTTTCTCGGATAACCCATGGTAACTGTTTTAGGCAAGTAAAGGTAAGATGTAAGTGCTCGTTACACTGTTACAGAAGATTGCGAGTTATAGTACTCATTCATAGCTATATTTTATATGAAAATAATCAAGTCTTTTTAATTTTGTTCCTGTTGGCCGTTGATTGCAGTTTAGAAAATTCGCTGATTCTAATCTATTAGATCCGGCTAATTGATGAAAAATGAAAGTGATTGATTTGTATGCTTTTTACTTTTTGAAACATTGTCATTTTTTTAAATATATTTTGAGTAATCCAAATTCCAGAATTTCCCATTTAATTTTTTTACTTTCATGTTAATCATATAAACTTCATGTCAGTAAGAGCCGCACGTTTGAATTCAGGAATGTTTGAGAACCGCATCTAGATTTTCTAAAAGCCACAAGTTCACATTTACATCATTATAGAAGTAGTGCAGGAGGTTTTAAATAGAAAGAAATCCCTGATAACGTTGTGAAAAGCGTCTAAACTAATTAATTAGTTCTTTTTTGGACACTAAATAGTTTTAGTTTACCATATTTCATACATATATTTTATATCCATGAGCTGCACAAATTGCCTGCGAGAGCCATATCAGGCTCGCGAGCCGCACTTTGGCCACCCCTGATATAAACAAATATCAGTAAATATGAACAATACGGGTCAGTAACTACAAAAAAGACAGGCATTGAATTAATTTTAATATACGATAGTCATTTTTAAATGAATGAATTAATATTTCATAAATGATATCAGAAAAACACATGATAAAAATTAAGAGTGATCTAGTTTACAAACTCGGGTTTTAAAAAAGTAGTAACTTATCAGGGTTAAAAAAAGTTATAGAAGATTTAAAAAAATAATAAAAAATAAACAATTAGTTTTTAGCGTCCGAGATTCTGTCTTGAAAATGTATGAACATGTTTAGTCATTGAAAATTTCCTGACAGAATAGCAAAATTAATTTATGGTGTCGTCTACCAAAATTTTTTAATAATTCATTGGAAACTTTAGCTTTTCAATAACTTAACAATATTCATGTAAATTAACTGTTTTAGTAAAAATCAAGTTTAAATTGAAGAAATCAGCCAATGAATTCAGTTGAACAAAGCTGTATTTCAGTTTTCCATTTTTGTATTCATATTACATAGTGAGGTCATTTGTTCTAATTATGAATTAAAAAAAAGAATAAAGAAAAAAAAGTTTTTGTAAAATAAACTCTTTTTTAAAAACAAAAAATAATTAATGAAATAAAAGAAGAAAAATAATTTAGGATGTGGTTTGCTGGTTTCATGTGCTGTTTCACAGAAGAGATTAAATAATTCTCTTTACAAAATTCATCTACAATTTTATATCTTGAATAATTAAATGTGTGGGGCGCCCTTTATAAATTTATAAAGATAATGACTTATACTATAGACAATGCAATTTGGATTATTAGCTTTTGTTATTCAGACGCCCACGCTGTTATTAAATATTATTTATTTTATTATTCTTTACATACAATTGTAGATGAATTTTGTAAAGAGAACTATTTAACTCGCCTTAAACTGTACGATAAATTATTTTTCTAGTTTTAGCGCGTATATTATTATGTGAGTTTTAAATAAAAACCTATTTTACCCAAACTTTTTTTTATTATTATTATTTCATCCTCAACGGACTACTAGTCTCGGAATACAATTTTTTCTTGTTTTACTTTGTTGTTTCATTCGAGTTTGTTGCCACTCGGAAAAACGTAAGAGATTATTATTATTATTTTGGGTATTTAATCTATTGGTTGTTGATTAACAAACTAAACTGTTTAAAAGCAATAGATGCGGTTACTAAAGATATTATATTTTTACTTTTAAATCTGATTGATTTGAATAAAAAACTCGATTAATTAAAAATATTAAACATTTTTATAAAATTATATTACATAAATTTTTCACTTTCTAAATATACAGAAGACATATGATATACAGATATACAGATGTATAATGTTCTCATGTTAGTCTAAATGCATATTCATCTAATAGCCTATAAAATATTTCGCTTTTTCACTTGGGCCATGTCTATTGATAATGTCTACTCTATTACACATCTTAAAAGAGCGCTTTTGGGCGATCCTTAAAATCTGAACCCTTTCAGACATTTTTTAATCCAAAGGGGCTTTGTCCCTGAAGGACTATCGTTTTGGTTTTCCGATTTTGCGGTGGTTCGTTATAAATGTCCGTTTCGCTTTTCAAACTGTTGCCACCAAATGTTAGAGTCCTGCATTATATTTGAAGAAATTAAATAATGAAAAATCTGTATAAATGTATGTATATTTCTCGCAATGTGATAAAACAACGGTACTTAGAGCCACCGAATTTTGAATGACGTAATCCTATTGCGAATATGGGCATTTGGAAGCCCAAATTTGAAATTTGGAATTTGTTCTATTATCGATTTCATATTTTGTAAAACTTTAGCGAAATTTTGTTTAACAAACTCAAGTATTTCAAAGCGAGCCAAGGCAACGTTGTACAGAAAAACATTTTTATCTCCAGCGCTGCGAGACTCTGTATCTTAAATTCTCAAGATATGCTCTATTTAAAACTATTTTGCGATATTGCTCTTGAACTGAATTTTATGGTTTACGTGCGAAGAACATGATATTTGATAAATAAAGGTAACAGACAAAATGTTAAAAAAATGCCCCTTTGGACGTAATTTCAAATCTGAAACTTTTCAGATTTTCTTCTTTTTAGTCCAAAGGAACTTTGTCACTGAAGGACTATTGTTTTCGTTTTGCGATTTTGCGTTGAATCGATATAAATGTCCGTTTCACTTTTCAAACTGTTGCCACCAAATGTTAGAGTCCTGCATTATATTTGAAGAAATTAAATAATGAAAAATAATAAATGTATATCTATTTCTCGCATTTTTATATCTATTTCTCGCATTGTGATAAAACAACGGTACATACAGCCATCGAATTTTGAAATACGTAATCCTACTGCGAATATGGTAATGTGGAAGCCCAAATTTGAAATTTAGAATTTGTTTTATTATCGATTTCATATTTTGTAAAACTTTAACGAATTTTTAAGTAACAAACTCACCGGTTTGATAGCGAGCAATGGCAACAATCTACGGGGGTTAAAAAAAGAAAAAAAAACCTTTTGTCTCCAGCGCGCGAAGCTGTCTGTCAGAAATTCTAAAGGTAGACTCATTTTAAAATTATTTTGCGACATTGCTGTTGAACTGAAATCTTATGGTTTAAGTGCGAGGAACATGATATTTAATAAAGAAAGGTAACACACAAAACGTTAAAAAAACGCCTCTTTGGACGTAATTTAAAATCTGAAACCTTTCCGTTTATTTATTTATTTATTTTTTAATTTTATTTATATTAGTCCAAAGGGGCTTTGTCCCTGAGAGACTATTGTTTTCGTTTTGAGATTTTGCGTTGAATCACTCTGAATCTCCCTTTCATTTTTCAAACTGTTGTCACCAAATACTATCGTCCTGTATTATATTTGAAGAAATTAAATGACTATGCATAAATGTAGGTATGTTTCTCGCATTGTGATAAAACAACGGTACCTAGAGCCATCAAATTTTGAATGACGTAATCCTACTGCGAATATGGGCATGTGGAACCCCAAATTTGAAATTTGTTTTATTATCGATTTCATATTTTGTAGAATTTTAACGAATTTTTGATTAACAAACTCACGGATTTCAAAGCGAATAATGGCAACGTTTTACAGAAAAAACATTTTTATCACCAGTACGTGGAGACTGTGTATCGAAAATTCTAAAGATATGCTCAATTTAAAATTATTTTGCGATATAGCTCTTGAACTGAATTTCTTTATATATATACATACTAGAAAGCCCGAAGGTCATACGAAATGACCGCTGTTTTATACATTATAAATTGTAATTAAAACGATTTGAGCAAAGGTGTTTTGAGCAAAAATTTTGATGTAATTTCTGATATCTTGCAAAATCGCTGCAAAAAAAATTTTTTTTTATCATTTTGTGTAAGCAGTTGTTGAAAGTCAAAGATTGCTTATTATATTGAAAAATGATTTATTAATTGCATATCAAAACCAAAGATAAATAAATAAATAAAAACGAATATTTGAAAGGTTTCAGATTTTAAATTACGTCCAACCGGGCGTTTATTTTTTTACATTTTGTGTGCTACCTTTATTTATTAACTATCATGTTCTTCGCACTTAAATCATAACTAGAAAGCCCAGCGGTCATACGAAATGATCGCTATTCTAGATATTATAAATTGCAATTAAAATGATTTGTGCAAAGATGTCTGCTAATTCAAACTGAATTACCCAGGGCAGGCAGCGAGGACGCTTACTGCCTCACGGGGTTTCCCCCTTATCTTTGCTTAATTGCTTAAAGTAGAGTGCAATGAAGGAAACCACTGGCGGTACATTTCTTAAGAGCCACCGCTAGCTCAAGGTGATTTAAATAATAAAATGTTAATTCACATGTCAAAGATCTCTTTGTACAGAACATTTCTTGTGTAGATCTTTCCATCATTTTTAAGCTCGCTGTTCAGGAACGTGCACGAACTCAGTTAATAAACAATAATTTAATATGTTCATTATAATGTAGATTTTTTTGTGGCAACAGTGGTGTTTTGTTTACATATGCTTTGAGCGTGATAACGCACAGAATGTTACCTTTTGGATATGTTTGGAATGCTAAGTAAATAAGTTCTTTGTTAATTAAAAAGGTTTTTTCTATGAAATATATTGCCATTCGT